CACACACACACACACACACACACACACACACACACACACACACACACACACACACATGTCCCCTTCATTCCATACATACACCCCCTTCCCCTTTAAAGAAAACATCTTCACATACCCTTGGCAAGAATTACGACTAGAAACCTCACAACAGCACTTCTCCCCCTTGTCTCTGTCTCCGTCCCCTTTCAGACCCCCACATATTTCCCCCACAATGTCAATCCAATTCCCCCCTTACATTCAAGACTCCCACAAACCAGGCAGGTGGGGGTAATTCAATCATTTCATTTATCAATGGTCGACTTCGACCACCTCGATATGCTCCCCTGCCGATGCTATTTTTAGCCTCACTCCACGGCTCAGCTCAATGTAAAAGATCGTGAGTGGTGAGTTGTTTTTCACTTCTACTTCTCTGTACAGTAGCCGCCCAATGAAATACAGAGCTATCCACAGAACTAGGAATTAGACAGACAGAAAGTTGATGTGATATGGCTCGGGTGCACACCCCTAAAACACTGTAAGGTCAGTTACGAACTAAGTTGGTGTATAGCATTGAAAACTTCCCTAACAAACTTATTCAAGCACACTCCGCTCAGGAATCAAACCACTGCTATCCACCCAGTAAGTAAGAATGATAGCAACGGACCAATATAGCTTCCAAGGACTTTTCATACACTCTTGCCGACCCCCCACTCCCCCTTTTCCAAAGGAAGGCATACGTTTCTTAACAACAACGCTTTTTGACTCTCAGTCTTTTCCAATTTTCAATACACCCCCCCCGCCTCACCCCTTAAAAACTCTATTAAAACTAACTATTAATAACAAACAAACAAATAAACGAATAAAAATGTTAACAAACACAAAACAAAAATTAAAACAAACCAACAACAAGAGCATCAGCGAGCAACCTGGATAACATACAGTGTTGCAGCCTTTTATACGTACACAGTTATCATTTAAATATTATTCCGCCTCTATCAAATTATATGGAAGGTACTTCTATCCAGTCCAGATCAGTGATATATGGTCTCTGGTCCAGTAGGCAAAGGAAAACTGAGTATAGTGTCATTCTTAAGGCTTCAACATTCTCGATATCAAACCTTGTTTCGACTACCACTAGTCTAACAGCTCAAGTCAAAGATATAATCAAATGATCGATACACGTACTTGTGCCATAGAGGAAAATGTACTCTCACCAAAAGGGTAAGTCTAATCCTATACCTTGACATCTTTTTAAAATTGTGAAAACTTCTCACCACAGTTCCTATTACTCACTCTCACCACATAATCATATAATATGACGTTAGTATGTCTCAAGTATGATGACAAACTTAAACAATAAGCTCTTGGATTAAGTTAATTGTGCAAACAAAGACTGATAGACTCTAGTTTCTATTTCCTTTTTCTTTCTTTTTTTCCCTTTGGGGGGGGGGGTGGAAAACGTCCCTTTGATAACTGTACAGTCTGTCTTTTTTCCATTTCTGTGGACCTGGTAGCTGAGCACCGCCAGAGAACAATGTGTATACAACAGTATACGTTCCCGGAACAGCATCCAGGAATACTGGGCAAGCCCCCATTCTCTAATTAGATGGATTTTTTATTACCCGTTTGTAATTTACTGACATAAACCAACCCCCTTTCTCGTTATGGGAAATACTCCAGACCATTTAAAAAAGAGATAACCAGATATCATGTGTTTAGAACAACTATGTGATGCCGGATTCCAACCCGACGCCAGCTACATTAGAAAATAGGCACAATGCCACTAAATAGAATGTGTATATCATGCTTGTAAATAAAAATGACTATATGGCTAAATTTTACAAGTCTCTCTCTCTCTCTCTCTCTCTCTCTCTCTCTCTCTCTCTCTCTCCCTACCTGTCTATCTTTCTCCCTATCTGTCTTTCTCTCGCGCTCTGTCTTTCTCTCACGCTCTGCCTTTCTCTCTTTCTCTCGCCCTCTCTCTCTCTCTTTCACACACACACACACACACGCGCGCGCGCGCGCGCACACACACACATAAACACGCAGAAACGCTCACACACATACGCGCGCGCGCACACACACACAGAGAGAGAGACAGAGAGAGA